TTTGCCCTCGAGGAGGCTGGATACCAGCAGATCCAACTCCGGCAATTCATCACGATGCAGTTCCATGATGGCAAGTGGAGAGTTGTGCTGAAGCCCCGCTGGAAGGATGCTGCGAAGGCTTAATGCGCGAGCTTTCGCGTCGCTACTGCAGCATGTTGGGGTGGACGGCGTTGAGCAGGAAGCACTCGATCGAAGAACAGATTGAAGAACAGATTGAAAGAAAGGGGAAAGCGCGAAGCAGGACCATTCTCCAGTTTGAGGGCACATTCCTTTTCTCTTTTGGTTAGTGCGACTAGGCAGTAGAAGGCACAATTTGATTGATTCCACCACCAACTCCCGTGCTCGTCTGCTTTCTTGCAACATGACATGGCTCTGAACTGAAGCGTGAGGCGAGCGGAGGCAGCGGAGGCAGCGGAGTCAGGCTGCATGAAGGCAAGGATATCGACCCGGGCTGTGGACAGAGGCTCGGGCTTATCTCGCAGCCTGCAGCCAAGGCCGAAGTAGCAGCGCATGCCGTCAGCGAGCGTGAGGCAGCCCTGGAGTGCCGGAGGCTAGCGCGCCGCTGCACCGGAGCGCGTCAGGGCAACTCAGCAGCAACAGCAACAGCCTTGTGCACGACACCATGGCCATGGCCACGACCCCGACCCCGACCCGCACACGACATGTCTGAGCCCCGACGCTCGACGAGGGCGCGCGCCCGCGAAGACGCCGCCCCGGCTGCCCCCGACACGCCCAACGACAAGCCCGCCAAAACCGCCAAAGCCGCCCTGAAGCGCAAGCGGACCAGCCTCGCCGTCAAAGACGCGCCACCCTCGACGCCCGCTGCTGAGGGCGCGCCGCTGCCCCCACGACAGACGCTGCCCCTCCAGCTGGTCGACGGCGCGCCGCTGCCCACACTGCGCGAGCCACAGCCCCTCCACCTTCCATCGAGCGAATGGCAGACGATCCAGCAGAGCCGCGTCCTCGAGACGTCCTTCGAGCGCTCCAAGGCTGTCTGGCTGTCTGGCGCCAACTTCCGCACCTTCCATGCCCACTTCAACCAGCCCAAGAAGCTGGCCGACCGCACCGACGAGGACAAGGCCAAGACGGCGAGACAGAAGGAGCTGCTCAAGAACTTCCCCCAGGTCGGTGCCGACAGGGTGAGTGTGAAGCTCGTCATAGAGCCGCACACGCTGCCTATCCGCCTCTACGGCCCGCGCGAGGTGGGCAGACCAGCACAGAAAAAGGCTCCCGCGCCATCGCCCTATGCTCCCTGGCCAAACCACAACCAGCCCAACCAACACACCAAATACCAGGGTGGCCAGCCGATACAGCAGAAACCCCAGCCACGCCCACCGCAGCCCCCCAAACCTGTCCAGGCCGCGCCTCCGCCTCAGGCCCCCGCAGCCCCCGCCCCCGATCCCGTCATACACATGCTCGCCGCGAGAGCAGGAACAGATCCCGAGCTGAAGGCTGTCATGAAGATAGTCGCCGCTGGCTCGGCAAGCAAGGAGCAGCTCGAGTTCTTCCAGACACACATCAACGAATTGACGGCGATTCTGGCCAGGCAGAAGGAGGAAAAAGCGCCCAAACCAACTCCGCCAACGCAACCCCCCAAACCTACGCCGCCGCCGCCGCCGCCGCCGCCTCCAGCACCGAAACACACAGCTCCTCCTCCGCTTCCCCGCCCAGTCCAGCCAGTCCAGCCAGTCCAGCAGCCTCTGCAGCCCAGCACGCCCAAGCCGTACAGTCCGGTCCCGCCCCAGGGACAGATGCAGCAACCCTCGCCTACACAACAGCCATATCCACCCTATCCGAACAACTTCAGCAAACCGCCGCAATACCACCCGCCGCCGCAGCTATCGACCTACAACCCACCCCCGAGGACAACATATCGCCCGTTGGTCTTCAGTTTTGTCCATGGCAGCGAAGACAAGTTTTACTTCCCTTCGTATAGTTTCATGGAATGGCTTCCCAATGGCACAGGCGCAAAGCTGTCCTTCCTCATCACCAAGATGAAGCCAAGGCCGGATCCAGTCGTCAAACCTCCGTCTGCCTCTGCTCAAAAGTCAATGCCAACGCCGATTCCGACTCTCGGTACTGCGACTAATGCTATGCCTGGCGCACCCCCACCGAATGCCATCATACCAACACCCAGCCCCACCAACCCTGCTTTTGCGTCCATACAACCCGCCGCATCAGCCCCCTCGGCAACCTTCGTGCCGCCTAAACCGCCCCAACGAATCGAAGATTTTGACGAGATGAACGAGATAGACAACATTGAATTCTACCAGCCAGTTACTGTCCTTCTACTAATCGAGCACGATGAAGGCGACGAAATCGCAAGCGCCTTGCCGCGCTCGATACGACCACCGCATGTCGTGGAGAAATACATGAACGAGGTGTTTGATAAGTGCAAAAGGGCAGAGGAGACGTATCTAGCCTTCAGACTGCCCAAAGACGGCGATGAGTTGCCAGAGAAGAGAATTAGGAGCGGCGACGTGACGCCTGCGGTTGCAACGCCGACTCAGGACGTCGCCATGGGAGGGATGGGTGGGTCTGCCAGTAGTATGGCAGAAAAGAAGAAAGCTGGACGGCCTAAGAAGAGTCTTGTATGAGATCGTCTGAACGTGTGCCGATATTGTGGAAACCTTGGAATAGTCTTGCGGTGTGTATGAGTACAAATGATACCCATTTCTTAGCGTCAAACTACACACATTCTGCTCCGGTATCGCGTGTCATTGATATACGGTTGCGAGATACGTGAGACGGTATTGTCTGAAGCATGCTCTTCGTTACACATGAGATCCGGAGCTGCCATCGCTCAATTCCGATGCCAAGATCTTCGCTGCGGCCTGCTTATCCCGGTTAGATCACCCGCAGTTGCCTATCTCCATGCATCTGTGCCCTTCGCGCGCTCCATTTCCGCAACGTCACCATAATCCTTTTTGCTTTACCTGAGGCCAGTGCTACGGTCGCAGTACTTTCTCTGCGTCGACATTCCCGACAGTATAAAGTATCTAGGCAGCGCAAGACCACGTCCTGTGACTGAAATCATGCCCAACCTCAAAGCCATCTTTACAAAAGCGTACTGGACATTTGCCATTCTAGGCATTGTCTGGGCCGCGTTTGTGGGCCTATTGGTCAATCCCACGGTACAAAGGCAGTACGTTTTGCTCTCATCATGACAGATGAGATGATGTTTGGAGTCGATTCTAATGTCTTCTCAGCGCTCTCTATGCCCATAAATTTCACACGGGGTTCTACCACAACGTGACGAATCCCGAAGAATTCGGCTTTGCGAGTAAGTGCATCTGTAACTCTTCCTCGGCTTGTTCTATCGCTGTACTAAGTACCCATGTGTAGAGGGGCAAGTACAACCCTTTTGGCTTACTACAGCGGATCAAGAGAAGCTCTTTTGCTGGCATGTACTTCCTCTAGATGTTTATCTGGAGAATGAACATGAGCTTTTTACTGCTGCTGTTTCGGGGGAAGTTGCAGAGGAGTTGAAGGGAACGATAGGAGAGAAGCTGTTGAGCAGCGACCCGGAAAGTAGGGTTGTGGTCAACTTTCATGGTGTAGGTTGTGCTTTCTTTCGATTCTTGACTTTCGGTTTGGCATGCTGTCCCTTTCTTTCCAGAGTCTTTAGTCTGAGATGAGAGTTTGAGATGTGATAAGACCATATCGACTCTTCTTTCTTAGTTTTACATGGTTTCTCCCTCATTCTTCCGTCACTTCATCCACCGTTAACTCTTCTTAATATTTCCAGCTTATCTATCACTCATTCTAATCCACCCAAACAGAACGCTGGCCACATAGCCCAAGGTTACCGCCCCTCAACCTACCGCTCCGTCTCTGGCATCCCAAAAACTCACCTCGTAACCTGCGACTACCGGGGCTTCGGTCTCTCCACGCTCACACACTCCCCGCATATCCCCACTGAAAGCGGTCTAATAGCCGACGCCTTAAGCCTGATTTCCTACATCACCTCGGACCTCTCTCATTCAAGCACCCGCACCGTTCTCCTGGGCCAGAGCCTCGGCACCGCCGTAACAGCCGCCAGCGCGCTCTACTTCACCAATTCCACCTCCGAGCACCTCCCATTGGCCATTACATCCCCATCTGTAACATTCAAACCATCCCGTAACTTTGAAGGTTTCGCCGGCATCGTCCTAGTAGCCCCCTTCACCTCGCTCCCCCAACTCCTCAAGACCTACAAAATCGGCGGCGTTCTCCCCATCCTAAAACCACTGCAAGGCTACCCCAGGATAGCAAACTATCTATCCACTCGCATCGTCGACCACTGGCCCACCCTCACCCGCCTACGCGCCCTCATCTCCACCGCCTCAGCCAACAAGTCCGGTTTCCACATTACTCTCCTGCACGCACGAAACGACCAGGATATCACGTACTGGGAATCTGAAGCGTTGTTCCAGCCACTGGCTACGCAAATGTTGACGGAAGAAGGGGTTGTGGCGGAGGAGGAGAGGAGAACGATTCAAGGGGCGAATAGGGTCAAGAGGGGTGCTTTTGCGTATAAGAAGGTCGAGGACGACAAGGGAGATAGGATGGTGGAGTTGGAGGTTGTGAGGTATGGAGGGCATAATGAAGTGGTGGGGTGGACGCAGGTTAGTCTTGCGATTAGGAGGGCGTTTGTGAGGAAGACGATGAGGCCGGGGTTGGACGTTGAGTAGGTTTTGGAGGAAGGGGTAAGTTGCATTGGTTCTACCTGGGTTTGTTGAATTGAAGAAGAAGACGGAGAAGCAGCTGGATGGAGCTGGATGGAGCTGTTGAGGGGATATCATTCGTCGTCATATGGCGGCGTTGTTTACAACATTACATGTACAATACTTCTACACCTTTCTACCAATCCCACAAGAATACGCCAGACGTCCGCCAATGCAGATAAATCGATGTATGTCATCAGCCCTCGAATCATCCAGGGAGCTCGTTGTACCAACACCGAGCTTTTCCACGGCCCCTATCCTGTTTCGACTCCGATTGAGCTTAGGAGGCTAATCTTACGCATTCCTAGCCTGCTGTTCCTTCTCATACTTTGCCACAAGCTCCTTCTGCAGCTGCGGCGGCGCGGGACTGTAATGGCTAAACTCCATGCTAAACTCCCCCTTACCCTGCGTACTAGCACGCAACTGGCTGCTAAAGCCAAACATGCTGTTCAAACTGCAATCCGCATAGACAGTAAAGTCCTCCGGACCAATCTCCGTATCGTTGATAACAGCATTGCGCTTATTCAGAAGACCAACAACAGAACCCTGGAACTCATTCGGCGCCGTGATGGTCGTCTTCATAAGCGGCTCAAGTACCTGAGGCGCACCGGCCTGGAAAGCTTTGCGGAAAGCTTGCTGGGTGGCCATTTTGAAGGCCATTTCCGAGGAATCGACAGCGTGGGTAGCTCCGTCGTTGATGATCATGGAAGTACCCAAAACCTTATGGCCGAGAAGCGGGCCCTTGGCTGTGGATGCCATGAAGCCCTTTTCACAGGCGAAGAGGAACTTCTCGGAGATGGTGCCTCCGGAAATCTGTTGCTCGAACTTGTTCTCACCAGCAGCTTCGCTTGGCTCCATCCAGCCGACTACTCGCGCGTAATCTCCTGACCCACCACTCTGCTTCTTGAGCGTGTGGTCGAAGTTGACGCGCTTGGTCATTGTCTCGCGGTAGGCGACTTGTGGTTGTCCGGTTTCGCACTCGACGCGGTATTCGCGGCGCATGCGCTCGACATAGATGTCCAGATGTAGTTCTCCCATACCGGAGATGATGGTCTCTTGCGATTCGGGGTCGGTATGGACTCGGAATGTAGGGTCTTCGCGCGTGAAGCGGCTCATGGCTTTGCTAAAGTTGGGTGTGTCTTTGGTGTGCTTGGGCTTGATTGATAGGGAGATGACGGGTTCGGGTACGAACATGGAGGTCTATCGTGTCAGCTTGAAGATATGATAACAATAGTCTTAAAGTCTTACCATGGTGTATCCAAGATTACCGTCAGTGAAGGTATCTCCAGACGCGCAGTCAACACCGAACACGGCACAGATTTCTCCAGCACCAATTTCCTGGATTTCCTCCATGTCGTTGGAGTGCATGCGCACAATCTTCGGTATCCTGACCTTCTTGTCTGACCTCGCGTTGAATACATTCATTCCCTTTCTGAGCGTACCCTGGTACACACGGATGTATGTCAATTGTCCAAAACTACTCTCTTCTAGCTTGAAAGCCAGACCGACAAATGGCAAAGAGTTGTATGATACCAGCTTGACCGGTGCTTCTGCTCGCTTCTTGTCCAGTGCCATGTTCTCGACTTCGGAGGGGTTTGGTAGGTAGTCGCAAACAGCGTCGAGCATTGGTTGGACGGATTTGTCTGCAAGCGCGGAGCCCATCATAACCGGGGTGAACTTGAGGGAGATGGTAGCTCGTCGAATCGCAGCCTTGATCTGGTGAATTGTCGGTTCCTGCTCGTCCAAGAAAAGCTCTGCGATCTCATCGTCGACATCTGCAAGTGTTTCGATGAGTTTCTGCCTCTTTTCCTTGCAGAGCTCAACAATATCCGCAGGTATCTCGTCGGTCTCCCTAATGGTCTCGCCCTTGGGTCCTTCGTTGTAAATCGCCTTCATCCTGACCAGATCCACAACACCCAAAAAGCCATCCTCGCGGCCGATGGGTACTTGGAGAGCCGCAGCCGGTATGCGAAGCTTCTGGTTGATCTGCTCGACAGCCTTCCACGGGTTGGCTCCCATACGATCCATCTTATTCACGAAGGAAATCCTTGGAATGTTGTACCGCCTCATCTGCCTGTCGACTGTGATGGTCTGACTTTGCACTCCGCTGACGGCACACAGGATCATGACGGCTCCATCAAGGACTCGCAGTGCTCTCTCTACCTCGATTGTAAAGTCGATATGACCGGGGGTGTCAATCAAGTTGATGTGGTATTTCTGGTCCTTTCCTTCATCGTCCTTCTTGATCCAGTCACAGAAGGTCGCAGCAGACTGGATAGTGATGCCCTTCTCACGCTCGAGATCCATAGAATCCATCTTGGCACCCACAGCATCTTTGCCGCGTACCTCGTGTATGGCGTTGATTCGGCCGGTGTAGAAGAGGACGCGTTCGGTGGCGGTGGTCTTGCCGGAGTCGATGTGTGCTGCGATGCCGATGTTTCGCACTCGCGATAGTCGCTCCCATTCGACAGGGTCTAGGTTCTCGACGATTTTCTCTTGCGTCAAGGTAGAGGGGTCTTCCTTTGCTTGCTCCAGCCTATGACGTTCAATCAGCCTTCCATTGTTCTCTCGCCGTCACAGAACAAACATGGCAGTACATACACTTGCGCAGCCGCAGACTGCCATCTTCGTTGTGGCTTCGTGGTGTGGCTCCCTATCCATGTGTCTGTCTTGGTGCCGTTGGTATAGGGCGTGCGCGTTGCCGCAATGGTCGAAAGAGCGCATCGGGAAGGCGTCGCAACCGAGCGTGCTGAAGAGCGAAGACTGCTCGTGGCAAGTGATTGCGCCCGGAAAAGAGACTGAACCCTCATCTTGAACAAAGGGGCGACGCGGGGTCTGCTGTCGCTTCGCAATGTCGAATTGCCCGCCAGGAAAAAGTTGGGCCATCGGAGTTTCGGCGGAGGTGCCAGTCACGTGTCGACGTGTGCCCGCCCACCCTACCATAGGCATTGCACGAGTGGACAAGTAGACAGAAAGCCATCTTGGAGTGAAGAATGGGATTGTAATCTAATAGTGATGTCTGCTAGATTCTGCGAAGCCTATCGCTAAAGAACAACTATGCACGCAATAGTCCTATCCAAACCCACCTCCGCTCCATGTCCTTAGGTATCCGCCCGAATATCAGTTACGCCAAACAATCGCTCCAGAAAATGCTGTTGAGAAGTGAAAGAAGATGGGAGCCATACAGCTCCGCGCACATAATATCGCCCATAATTGTGCAAGATGGCATGGTACGACAACCTAAGACTTGACCAAGTGTTGCCGGAATACGACTTGAGAATTGTATACGCCTAGGTCAGAGGCATAATGGCCCTCGTCTACCGGACGGTCTCCTCTGGGAAGTTGGGTGTCTGGAGTTCTGCAACTGACGAGTCTACCTCTTGAACTGGAGTGGCTGGTTTGTGCGATTCGTGTGTTGGCTCATTGGCGATAGGCTCCTCGGTTGTCCGATCGCCATGTTCAGATTCCTTTGCGGGCTCATCTCCATCCTTGTGCTCCTCAGAATTTCCGTTCGTAACCACTGCCCTGGCCTTGGACACGACCTCTTCCGCCTTCTTCTTCCCCTTTTGTAGAGTGCCGATCTTGGAAGCGGCAGGAGCCTTACGCGGTGGTGATGACGGCTTTTCATGGGGCTTATCGTGTGTCTTGCTGGAGCTGGCGGCCGTGGGTCGCATCATGCGCTCGAGGAAGCCTCCTTTAGGAGCAGCACTTGCGGTTGAGGTGCGCGATTCAGGTCGTTTGGGCGCAGGGGGTGCGATGGAAGGGCGCGAAGTCTTTGGTGCCGGGGCCTTGGGTGTAGGACGGGTGTTGGTGGAGGGCTTGCGTGTGACCTTGGGCTCCTCGCCATGTTTGGCAGCCGAGGCAGCCGTCGGCGCAGTCAGACGGGTTGGTAAACCGACTGGACGAGTAGGAGACTTTGGGGTTGGCTTCTTAAAGCCTGTTGGGGACGTGCTGTAGCGTTATTAGCATTGGCGCATTGTCCCACGTGGCTCTGTCATACCTTTTGCGGGGGGCGGAAGTAGTGGGCTTGGGAATGGCAGGCTTCTTGTTCTCCACAGGTGCGGCCGCAGGCTTGGTCTTGGAGGCAGCAGCAGCAGCAGTGGGTGCCGTCGCTGAGGACGCAGATGTTGCAGGTCGCAGAGAGGTGCGGCTGGTCTTAGCAGTTGGAACCTTTGCGGCTGGAACCTTTGTTGCGGGGGCCTTGGCAACGGGGGCCTTGACAGGCTCCTTTGGGGCTGCGGGCTTTGTGGTCTTCGCAGCTGGACTAGGCTTGATGGTGGGTGCGGCCGTCTTGGGTTTCGTAGGGGTCTTGGGTGCTGCTTTAGGTAGCGGACTTTTGGCAGGGGCGGCGGGAGCCTTGGCAGGTTTGGCAGTCGAGATGGCAGCAGGCTTCCTGATCTCGGGCTTCTTGAGCCCAGGAGTTCCATTGGCCTTGGCCTTGGTTACAACAGGTGTGGCTGCTTCTGAAGCAGGTTCGGTGCTCGGGGCCATTACTGCTTCAGCCGGCGCAGGAGCGGTCGCGTCAGGAACAGCGGCTTCGTCGGCAGGCGCAGCAGGTCGTAGAGCAAGCTCCTCTTGAGCACCCGTCACTGCCTTGTCTGTATTCTCGGCGGGCTGAGCAGCGGCTGGGGCCGGGGCAGAGGGCTCCTCGGTGGCAGCAGCTTCAGCTTGCACAGCTTCGGCTTCCTCTGCAATGGCAGCTTCCTCGATGACAGCGGCCTCCTCTGCGATGGCGTTCTCCTCAGCAACAACGGCGTCGTCATCGACGGCAGCGTCCAGCAGAGCAGGCTTGTCTTCGTCCACGACAGCCTCCTCGGTGGGCGCGGCAGGTCTCAGGGCGACATCCTCCTGCGCGCCTGTAGTAGCTTTGTCCGGGTTCTCGGCAGGCTGGGCAGGTGCTGCTTCTGGCGCGGGGACTGGAGCGGTCTCGACAACGCTCTCGGTGGACTCGGCTGGTGTCTCGTCGACTGGCACTTCTTCCAGCTCCGGAGCCGGCACAGCGATGTCGGCGGCCGCAGACTCCGGGAAGTCGGAGCCCTTCATGATGGAGCCCAGGTTGGGCATGTTGGTGGGTGTGTCGTCGCGGATGGGCGGCGCGGGCATGGAGGACTCGCGCGACGCGACGGCCTGTTCGGGCACGGCCTCGGGGATGGCGATGCTCTGGCGGCGCTGCTCCTTCTCCTCGCTGACGACCTTCTTGAGCTCGGCCAGCTCGTCGGTCCTGTCGTGGCTCACGCGGAAGCTCTCGCGGCGGGTCGCGTTGACGCTGTTGGAGGGCGTGCCCTTGGTCTGGCCGAGGTCCGTCGAGGCGTGGGCGGCCGTGGGCTCGACCGAGACAAAGGAGGCGCGCACCTTGGACTTGGGACGCTCTTCGCCGCCGTCGGTCGCGGCTGCCGTGTCTGTCGGGGAGCGGCCGCGGGGCTCAGGCGAGGCAGCGGCGTTGCCGTTCTCGAACATGGCGCGGAGGTTGCGCACGCCGTTGGACATGGCTGCAGTGGGACGAGGCGAGCGTCAGTGGTGCTGGGGCGGCGGGCGTGGGAGCAGAGGGTTATAGGATACGTGGGAGATGGCCGTGGCCGCGCCTGAAACCCGGCCAATTTGTTTATGTACACGCAGTGACGGCGGCGCGACAGGGTTCTCGGGCGTTGCACAGGGAGGCTGCAACTTACAATAATGAACAATGCGGGTCAAGGGCTGTCGGGCGGCTGTCACGCTCGCGTTCAGGAACAAGGGCGGTGACAATGGGGAACCCCTGGGGACGTCGGTCGAGCAGGAAGGAGTCGCTGGTGCTCCCGAGTAACCAAGACAACTGCCCAAAGCATCATAGCTCCAGTGACGTCTGGCCTCGCCCTCGCCCAGCACAGCACAACAGTGCGCACTGCACACGCATTGTATAATCTTTCATTTCGACTCCGCATTCAATCCTCAGCCCCTGGAAGGCTCTCGCTGCACATCCGCCAGTCCTCCCTTCACTGCATACACCGCTCATTGCAAATGCCGCATCGTCTGGCAGCCGACAACGACTATCTCCGTCGGCACCACGCGAGAAAAAGAAAAAGGCTCCGATGCCATTGGCAGCTGCACGCGAATGCCACGGATGAAACGTCAGTGCCACGCCAATCATGTCGCATACGGGCGCAATTCCCTCGTAATTTCCTGGCTGTGGCCAATCAGCGATGATCCTCCTTCTCAATCCTAGTCGAGCCCGCACCTAAACACACGTGACGCATAGAGCAGCGCTTGAACAGCCGGACATGTTGGTAAAGCAGGATCGAATGGGTATCGAATTCAGAACATTAAACGCAGTTTACACAGGACTGTCCAAATCACCCTCACAGCTTCCACTCGCCGTCCCACACCTCAGATGCAAATCATCCGACGCAGCACCAATCCAGACTCCATAATCACCGCCAACAGCAGGAATCACCCAGTTCTGCGACACTACATCCCACACACTAAGATCCTTTCTTGTGACCCTCAGGCTAAGCGTCTGGCTAGCCCCGGCCTCCAGTTCCCTCGTCTTTTCAAAGTCACGAAGCTGAATAACGGGTGTGTCGACTGTGCTCTCGTTGGGGAACTGGATGTACAGTTGTGCGACGGCCTTGCCCGCGCGGCTTCCCGTGTTGGTGACGCTGACGGTGATGTCGTATGCCGTGTCGAATAGAGCGGGGTTTCCTCCTTGTGCGCCACCAGCTGGTAGACCAGGTTTCTGCTCGTTTGAGTAGCCCGTGGGGTATGGGTATGTCGAAGTCGAGTTGCCAATCTTGGCTGCGGCATCGGCATCGTTCTTGTCGAGCCACGAGTAGAGGTAGCGCCAGATGCGGTTGAAGTTCTCTGGCCAGTACGCCTCGGAAGCCGGAGGGATGGCGGTTGAGTAGGTGGGTGTCTCGCCCTTCGCGGGACGAGCTGGCGGCGCGGCTGTAAGCCGAGTTACTGGAGTAATGGTCGCGTTGGCGAATGAGAACGACGTGTAGCTGAGTCCGTGACCGAAGGCGTACCGAGGTGTGATATTGGCCTTGTGGAAGTGACGGTAGTCGATGTAGAGACCCTCGGTAAAGGTATCCTGTGGTTGCCCAATCTGATATCCGACAAGGCTCAAAGACTGGGGGTAATCATCTTCAGAGTTGGGCAAAGTGTACGGCAGATGGCCTGATGGAGACACATCGCCGTAGAGAACCTGCATCAGTGAGTCTCCTGCTTCTTGGCCAGGCAGATGGGCGAAGAGAATCGCTTTGACCGAAGGCAGATCGTGCCATTGATCCATGAGAATGGGACCGACGGTATGTACCACAACCACAACGTTGGAGTACTTGGCTGCTACGTCCCTAATAAGCTTATCGCCATTGTGCCATAGGTTAAGGTTCGAAGAAGTCCGATCCCCTGGATTGTTCTCAACAGTAATATAGTTTTCGCCAGAGTCTGCAGTCACAAAGACGACGGCAGTGTCGCTCGGCGATGGGTTCGAGTTTCCTGGGAAGGCATCCGTGTTGAAGAACTGATAGTTGGCGCCACTGGTCTTGAAGCCGTCGATCGGGCTGTTCATGTAGGGGTATCTCGCTGAGCCAGATCCCCATCCCATTCCTAGTGTGCCTTTGTTGCATCCTTGATCCGCGCACGAGTTTATCCCGTCGGGGTTCTTCTCCGCGTCTGTGCCAAAGATCTTCAGGGTACCGTTGGAAGACAGAGGTAGCAAGCCGTCCTGATTCTTCAAGAGTGTGATAGCATCGCGGGCCACTTCACGAGCGACCTCTGCATGGTTGCCCTGAACATCCACAAACTCATTCACGATACCTTGAGGCGAGATAAGAGCGCCTGGATAAAGAGGACCCTCGGCGTTCTGAGTGTTGGCATCGAAATTGGGTCGCGGGTAGTCCTGGTCCTGGCCCATCTTAAAGTAGGTGGCAAGAATGCGTGTGACAGCATCGTTCAAGCGGTCCACTGGGAGAGATCCGTTGAGAATGGCACGCGACTGCTCGTACATCCAGTAAGAGTTGCCAAAGAGTGGAATGGTGTGGATGTCTCCAGGCATGGACATGTCAAGTCCTGCGAGCGCCGAAGGGACACCGGAGATTTGAGCAAGCCAGTCAGACATGACGAAGCCCTGGAAACCGAGCTCCTCCTTCAATATACCGTTGATCAAGTAACTGTTCTGCGAGCATGCACTTCCGTTGACAGCGTTATAAGCAATCATGACGGCACCAACCCCGGAACGTACACCCTCAGCAAATGGCCAAAGATAGAGCTCATGAAGCGTGCGATCGTCCAAATTCGATGAAATGCCAGGCTTGACCAGGTTGTACATGCGGTACTCTTCCTGCTCGTTTGCGATCAGATGCTTGATTGTGGCTATGACGCCCGTGCTCTGGATGCCTTCGATGGAAAGAGCTCCACCAAAAGCCTGGAGAACAGGATCTGAGCCGAATCCTTCCCAGTCTTTGTCTCTGTTAGCTCAACCATCAAGGCTGGCTTCTGGGGATGCACTTACTTCTACCGCCACGCGGTTTACGTCCTAGCGGACCGACCGACGGTCCGAGATGAACGTTTACTCCCTTGCCACGGAACTCTTCGCCGATCGCAACACCACGACGATAGAGAAGATCCTTGTCCCATGTGGCTCCCACCGTGATGCCGGCAGGGAAGGCAGTGTTGTGATCCGTGTTCCTGACACCTAGAGGTCCGTCCTGCAAGCAGAGCTGAGGGATGCCTACTCTTTCTGCGCTGCCTGTGTTTCCGACGCATCTTCCCATGAAGATTCCACTACCGGCTGTGAGGTTGGTCTTTTCGGCAAGTGTCATGTTCGAAACAAGAAGAGATGCCTTTCGGTAGCTCTCAGTCCAGTCCGATGCCCATCCTCCATGGGGAGCTATGTAGAATCAGTATCGCTATGCTCGGTACAAAACTAGTCGGTCGATGTTATCTCCGATAACTTACCTGGGTAATATGGTGCCGCAACATATCCAGCTGGAACAGGATCACGTCGCTGAAGAGCAGCACCAGCGGCGAGCGTAGAGAAACATAGGACAAGAGAGGGAATCATGATGAAGGAATGACTGTAGATCAGCGAGTGAGCGTCAAGGAGGACGGTAGCCTACAATTAGGCATGGGAAGGAGATCACGGTCCTTTGTATAAAGAGCCCCTGCTTGAGCCAAATCCAACCCCGCAACACCAAGCCGGTATGGATATCGCATTTCTACCAAAACTAAGCGTGCACTAGCCATGGTGTTGTATAGTGATAGACACGGTGGGTAACGCGCATGACGGAAACAGGCATAAGACCGAGTAGTATTGTCGTGCGTCAAGGCTCAATGCTGGGGTCAAGGATTTAGGCCGGCTAATGATCGGATGCTCAAAAGGCGCATGACAATCTCGGAAGGGACTGCAGCTGTTACACAACCGCTAGGGGCAGCGCCATACGCCTGAGACAACCCAACTCTTCTTAACAGAGAAAGTACAAAGAGAAACGTCCTCGCTCACGAAGAAAAGTACATGCCTAATGTATATTCAAAGTGATTGGTCTTGAATTGATCTTCGTATCTCGTGTAGAGTGCTAAGTTCAAGACTGGGGTACAAAGTCGTTGTATTGCCAAGCTGGCGGTCTCCTACAAGCTGCCTGTATAGGTGCACCACGATCCGATCCGATCGAGTGTAGATTGCGAAGGCTTTGTCCAATGCGCCACGTGCAGCCATAGCAGTCATGCGGCACGTTGCGTCGAAGCCATGATCGTAGCTGAATGTATTCGTCTTCAGCCACATCAACGGTCCCATCACATATCAAGATACTCGTTGGCTCGGACAGTGGATGAAGGGGTTGCGGGGTGGAGATGAAGACGACAAGGAGGATCGTGATGATGGACAGGGGCAAGGCGACCTCGGCTGCACTGGCGTATCCCCTTTCTGCTTCCGGCACACCCATCGAGCTTGTTCTCCGTCAACCACCGCGCGTGTGGACCTATGATCTCATGTTCAAACCATACCGGCATTATGCAAAGTAGCAGGTACCGAGATGGAGTATTGGATGCGATCTTAGCATACACCAACCGGGCTGCTGGCTCGACTCGAATCCGAGTCATCGATCAAGGCCCCGGGGCAAATCTTGCCGAGTAGGGAGACAACAGGAAGCGGTGCCGTGGAAGAGTAACCTTGCCCCTTTGAAGTGCTGAGCGGTAAACACAAACCCAATGTTTCGCTTCACAAAAATGAGCACCTACGACGTGATTATTAAATCATCAGACGCCAGAGGTACTCAACTCGTGAGAAGTCGCCCAACCGCCTGTGGCATTGAGGCTCACAGGCTGGACGTTTTCGAATGTTCGTGCAACGAAAGCAAAAGGCCATAGCGGAACTCCAAGTTCCGCGAATGATTTGGGTCTGGTAGCTATGCAAGCCCGAAGTTGATCCGACATGTTCAGCGAGTTGGGGACCAAGCGAACGCGCCTGCTACGATGGTTGTAAAGCATATAGTATACTCGAGAGGACCTCGGGACCATCGGGGCACACGACAGTTGGTTCAACAGAGTGACCAGCTGGGTGGGTACCGAAACACATTCGTTGGGGTACTGAGCAGTTGCTATTCTTAATGGACCATACCCAACTTCGATCCAGAATGTTTATTGCTATTCTCCGGGCACACGGTGCGGAGCGCTCTTTCCGCGGTTTAATGGTGAATGAATTGCAATGAGTGACGATGTTGGGGTGAGGAGGCTTGGTGCATGCTGTTTATCGATTCTGGTGAGTTCGGATGCCGAGGTTGGGGCTGTGTGAAAGGCCACGCTGCAGCGTCAGACGAACGCTTCTCTGGTACGACGTGACCGCTTGTCGAACCGAGAAATTCTTTGTATGATGCACTACCGAAACGCATTTTCTAGTCATCTACGGCTTGGCTATGCCCT